GTTTACTGATATTCACCGGAATTTGTCAAACCATGCAAGTTTTCAGCGCATGCACGGCTGAGGAAGGCTACTGGGAAATTATCGTATGGATATTGCTTCAAATATGTTTGAAAATAATCCGCAAATAAACATACGAAATGTTTCAGAAATTATGGATATACCTCGATCAATAGTAAGAAAAATTTATGAATACCTATTTGATCGTTATCCTAAAAATAATAATTTCAGATAGGAAGAATGACAAGAATGCAAGGATTACATCCTTATCGTTTTAAACGGGTGCAGCATTTAACGGATGCAGATTTTTTACCACGAATCGAGTTTTGCCAGTGGATATTAGCAAATGAAAACACTATTCCTAGAATATTATGGTCGGATGAGTCAATATTTACTAGGAATGGTGCTTTTAATTTCCATATCATGCATCACTGGTCAGATGAAAATCCAAAAGTTGTTCGCCGTACAAATTTCCAACATTGAACTTATGGGCAGGAGAAATTGGGGATCAAGTAATTGGGCCTATTGTACTTCCCAATCGTCTTAGTTCAGAGGTATATCTGAACTTTCTTCAGAATGAGCTCATGGATATAATACCATTGGATGTGCGCCAGCAGTTTCAAGAAAATATGTTTTTTCAACATGATGGCGCCCCTGCACATTTTGGACGCAATGTTCGAAATTGGTTGAATGTCAATTTTCCAGACAAGTGGTTAGGCCGAGGAGGTCCTGTAGCGTGGCCGCCACGTTCACCTGACCTAAATCCATTGGATTTTTATTTTTGGGGGTCATTAAATGACCTAGTTTCCTCGACTGAAGTAAATACTCAAGAAGATTTACTTAAAAGTATCCATCAGGCTGCAAATGAAATAAGAAGAAAAATGTTTTCCACTTCTCGGGCTACGCAATGATTAGTTCGTCGACCGAGACTCTGTATCCAACAGAATGGGAATTTATTTGAACACTTATTGTAAAGCTAGTTTTAAGTATATCCAACTGTATGTCCTCTTTATTAAACAAATTTCAATGTCGTTCGTAGAAAAAAATTATTTATTTTGTTTTTGCCTAAATGTTAGCTATGTTGCAATAGAAATATGTATTTTTGTAATCTTTACCAATTATTAAATTAGTTTTTTCGTTGCCATGGATAATTGTTCAAGAATTCATTTAAATTCGCAGTACGTTTCCAATCATGTGACACATTTTTTAGTTTGATTTTATTCAAAAATGACACAATTTCTCGATATTCAATAACAGTACCTTTTTTATGTAGAAAACCCTAAATCTTGAAATTCTAAAATTGAATTTCAAAAATAGAATCACACAAAAATTTTGGGGCTAAAATAACCTGATTCCGTCCTTGTTACATACGCTTCCAAGCAAAACTGTCTAAAATTGTTAAAATTTTTAAATCCAGCATAAAAAACTAGACTAAAATACCAAGTTGTATGTCATTATCTCAGCACGTTTCGGAAATATTAAGAAAAACCATCTTCAGGGGAGCCCTGTAGGCCTATGTTTATATGAAATTTTCTTCCTATTTTGAGCTCTAGAAACCGCTGGTAGAATATTGCACACTTTTTTCGAGACACCCTGTAGAGGGCCACTCTACTGAAATTCGGCTGCAGAAGATGGCTGTTAGACTGATGACAGGACTGAAACAGGGAGATGATTGCAAGCATGTGTTTATTTAATGAAAATAAGAGAAATTTGATTTCTATACAGGGTGTTCGCAAAGTTGGGGTTTTCCTTTTCAGAAACAACTACCCTTGAAATAACAAACGTAATGTGTAGTGAAACGAGGGCGACCAATTAAAAAAAAATAAAGGAAAAAGTACTCTCCAGTTGACGAGAAGGGCTAAGTACGTCTCTGCCCAAAATCATACCGCTCCAACAGAAAATGAAATCAGCTGATGCGCACCATGCCAGCCCAAACATTCACCGAAAATGTTTGTTGAAAATGTGCCCGACGGACAGCGTACGGATTTTCTACTGACCAAACATGAGTGTTGCGAAAGTTATTCACCCCATTACGCGTTAATGTAGATTCGTGTGACACCAATATGCTTTTCAAAAAGTCCGGATTATTGTCATGTTGATGCAACAACCACTCACAAAACCGCACTCTTGCTGGAAAATCGTCAGGTTGAAGGGCTTGTACACGTTGGACGTGAAACGGATACAGCCCCTCTTCACGCAGCGTTTGCCACACTTTAGTTTTTGATACTTGCACTTCTCTAGCCACGTCTCTAGTGCTTGTTGTTTTTTGAAACGCAATCGTTTATACGGGTTCGTTTACCTCTACACGCGTGACCGTAACCGTCGGTTGAAGGTTGCATACTGACCTGACACACTGACCCCGACCCAGTTCTGTCATTGAGCCAGTGACATTGCACCACTCCGTGATGTCGCGGCTACAGGACGGTATTCAGATATTTTCGATGTTGCAGAGCCCTTTATCTCGGTTCCCTTAAGACATTGGTGTATATGGTACTAAGAAAAATTGCTTATGTTTTCAAGATCTGCGCGTCGTGTAAAGAAAAACCGCAACTTTGCGGACACCCTGTATATTGGCGACTGAGAAGATGTCCAGATGGTCTGGGGTTCTGGTCAATTAGTTGCTACAATATTCGATTTTTGATCCAAAATGCTTACTAAAAATTGATGTCTTTTTAGGTACTTATTTTAATGTGTAGTGATAGTTCGAAACTTTTAAGTATGATGTACATCAGCTTTCATTATGTTGAGACTTTTTTCTTCCGTGTTATGACGATTGTCAACAATTTTTTGTATTAGCTTGAATAAATGGTATGAAAGGTATTTTTACAAATTCAGTTTTGACGACGTCTAAGCAACACGACCAGCCTTATAACGGGTGTTGTTATCCCAGCCAAACTACCGATATGAGGACGTAATCGATGGAACTCACGTTTCTATCATGTTTCTCGGATAACACAATATCTGGCACAGATTTTAATTGATCTCAGGTAGTGGTTGGGCTATGACATGGCGGTATCGGCTCCGTAGTAATAAGGCCGTTTTCCATTTCGGGCCCATCTTCACCGGCTGGCCAGGTACCGGCTCTCTCTATGAGTCACGTAACTAATTAAGGCCTAAACTTGAACCCAGAAGATGTGTATGTGTATATTAATAGCGCAATTAGACACGAGCTACCTATTATTACCACTATTATCATGCAGCGCGCGTTCTATCCTGATGGCCGCTCACTATTCTGCAAGTTTTGGAACACGATGCCGGAATTGTCGGAGACCCAACGCGGTCAAAGCTCAACAAAAATATTTTAGATTTTGCGAGACATAGACAGCATAACAAACATGTTGTCTCAGAATAATAACAATTTAGGACTCAGTGAATGTGTAAACATAATTTATACAAATTACTGAATTTCCTATATGTTTAATAATATACCCTCTTGGCACACGTTTTTGTGAAGCTTAAATAAAATGAATCGCTATGCTTCTGAAATAACTAATCCCCGTAACGTTTATGCTACTATGTATACCCTCATTAGACGATCATTTAAAATACAAAATAGTAATAAGACCTCTTGATGGAAAGTTGTCACAGGTTCACCGTTTGTATTTCCGTCAATATATCTATTTATAAGCTTTTTTGTGATAATCTCAGTAACCACTGAACCAATTTGAATGAATGTTGGAATGAGAACCAGTGCAGTGCACTCGAGAAGTTATATGCAAAATTAGAATATCATCATTACGTTTTCGGTTTTTTGGTTTCCAATTGGCATAATAATTTGTATTTATAGTTGCGGATATTCTGAGTGATACATCGGAGGTTACTCAACATATCTAGTCTCCGAAAACTATATATTTATTTTTCTAATGAAACAACTGAAAACCGTTCTATGATCACCACGTCGATTAATCAGAATTTTGATGGCCGCCAAATGAAACCACAAATACTGAGCTGCGCGGAGTATTTTTAGGCAACAACTTAGTAGCTTCACTTATTACTCACAATCAGTCACTAACTGTTAGACAGATAGATAACGAATTTACTCCAGAAGGCCGTGGACAGGATTTGGGAATGTCACTATACTACATGGATCATTAAAATTCATTGAAAAATTGACTACAAAGCTTCTAGAATCCAGCGCAAGTAAAAAATAGTAAATGGGACAAAATATTTACGAAAAACACAAAGAACTTCAAGAAATATATGCTATATCAGTATATGTATAGCACGATAACAAACAAGTGTAATTCTACCAGACAAGTAGATGGTTAACTAGTCTGGACAAAGTTTGTATTGATATACCAAATATTTGATAAGCACCTTTTTGCAATTTGAAAACTCTTTCGTGGTATGAAGAACTCCATAACAATACGTGATATTTCCAATAAGATTGTACTTCAGTGGGAAGATATGACATAACTTCTGATTCAAACCGTTCATTTGGTATCTGTGACACGTTGCTTAAAATCGGAAAAATTCTCACCCTGTAATGATCCTTTAGTTCCCATTACTTCAAATTTAATTTTTATTTGAGTGACGGACAGTGACATTCTACGTAGTGACAGCAAGAGAGATAGCAACGCCATCTTAATTCTTAATTCGTAAATGTATTTATTTAATTCAAAAGCTTGACATCTTCATGATCGGGTAATCAGACGGCGGAATCTTCCGGTTTTCCGCTTCACGTCGACTTCTGCTTCCATGACTAACAGCAAAAAGCATTGTTTCGCGCTTGTTAGCAACTCATCAGTGCGATATAGGGCTAGTCTTAAATACAGAGCAATGGGAAGCAAACATAGCTTGGCAAACCATTGGTAGGTGGTGATCATCACATTTTGACTTACTTCCGCACAATGTTTTCGGTGGTGACAAATGCTCATACATGACGCTCAGATATTTTTTTGATAAGATAAAATATAGCATTAAGTAGAATACGCTAATTAATGGTTAGGTATACATTATGAAAATATATGGGGACACTGGGGATCCTTGAAGACATCACTTACCGGAATAATTCTGCCAGAATGCAGCCGCCCCCGTATTGATCATGTCCATGCCAGCGTACCCCCAAGGCTTGGCCTCTGACACCGGAGGCATTGAAGGTGGCGGTGCCTCAGGCCTACTTTGCCCATACCCACTCTGGGAGGCACTGGGTGACGGCGATGGGTGCTGTGGAGCCGGAGATGGGTCCTCCCGTTCTTGCTTGATGGGACGCATCTCAAGCCTGTCCATCGGAGGAGGAGGTTGAGGACTGTGTCTGGGAGCCTGGTGATGCTGGGAGGTGCTTACGTGGTGTTGCTGTTGTTGTTGCTGCTGTTGTTGCTGTTGCTGCTGTTCTTTTTGTAGTTGATGTTGCTGGTCTTGGGAAATTTTATCTGCAATGAATCATGGTCAAATTATTAATCATTGAGCAATTTTGCAGAATAGTATTCAAAACTTGGTCGTGTCTTGGATTATCAATCAGACTTTAGCATCCCATTAACAACACGGTATCCACTCAGGGGAGCCAAGGCAGTTAACTTGCATTCCCCTCTTCAAAGGAAGTTCAATGCACATTTCCAGGGGCTAGAATGTCTTAAATTTGCTGCAGTCAGTGCTAGTGAAGGCTTCCAGATAGCAATACGCAATCGTAATAGATATTTATATGGAGGGTGTGGCTCTGGTAACAATTTAGTGGTATACAGCCGAACTCAGGGTGTGGGGCAACTGTAAGCAGTTTGTGGAACAATGCAGTTACCAACATGACATCTCTGCAGGCTGATACTGTCAGCGTTTCTTTAGAGTTATCTTTGATCGACCTTATGCTATTTCCAGACCAGATCGAGATAGGTGTTCTTAACATCTTCTCCGACGGATCTGAGATACATGATGGGGCTGAATGCTTCACAAGCCTCCGTATGAATTGTAAATGGTCTATGGACAAACTTGTCAGCGTGACTGAAAATGAATTAGTTGGCAGAATCTAAGCTGAGAAGGCAATGGTCCGCAGAAATGTTGCAGGCAAAAATATTAGGACTTGGATGGATAGCAGATAGGAAATACTAACTCTCAACTGTACCAAGGCTCACAATGAGAACAGTAAGAGCCTACCGCTTAGCACTTGCAAGTGCCTCCACCAGAAGCAACATAAATGTTTCTTGGGCGAAGTGTCATTCACAATCTAACGGTAATATTATAGCTAGTAGACTGACAAAAAACTGCTGTTACCAGAATTCTAGGCACAGCACGCCTCTGCCTTTTAAACAGATCACATGACACAGAAGCAGTTGTACTGTCTATTTCTCGATGTATAGAGCATGGCCAAGGTGGAATGAAAACAGAATAGCTCAGCAGGCACAGTGTCAACTTCGAAAAATAAAGTTCGTCGGAAAATCTATAAAAAAGGGTTGGGTAGTATAGTAGAAGCTTATCAGCTCTAATATTCCATACCGCAAGCAATGTGCCTCGTACAAAGTACCTTCAATCTATCAACCGATGAGTAATTTGCTGTTTTCTATCAACGGCTGGTGCGACTAACATGGCACATGAAATCAATAATTTCAACTAACTCCAACTTTCACCAAAATAAGCGAATGACCTTTCAGAAAGGTCTACACTGGACTCTTCGTTTGGGTATATCTGCTGACGAGGTGCAGTACTTTTACATCATACCCGTAAATCACACTCGGACTTATTGGACATCCAAGTATTGGCCATGCACTAACCTCACTAAGTCAAAAGCAGATCTGTAAATCGTCTGATTTTTGTCACAATGAATAAAAAATGATTCAAAAGCTTCCTGATTTCATTAATTCATCACTATTGGTCCCTCCAGATATTTGGGTATACGAGTAGTACACGAGCTTTGAGTTATGCATAAAGAAACGCGACGTAAAACTAGCTCTATTATCACGCTTTGCTAATGGCATGTTTTCTGTTGACTTCACGATCATCTTTTAGAGCAGGTCATTACATAATCTTCTGCATGCATTTCGAATAACAGAGGAATAACTGTGCCGATTCATGCAACGTGAGTATAACAGCCGTCACGTCTCAATTAAGCTTCTCGCAATAATTCCTAAAATTCTCAGCGCCCCAGCGCAAAGTGGCATACTAAGACGTGGAGCTCCCCCTCAGGGGGTTGATGCAAAGACCTGCCGCTGCTCGGTCTCAGTCGGTGTGATTGACAGACGAAATCCAAACATCCGTTGCAGAGACGGATCGCTAGCCGGCGCCTACCGCGAGGTTTGCCCTCTCTCCTCCACTCAGATTTCTACTGTTATGAAAGGAGATTTAAACCATACTCTTCACAACACATCAGAATCCAAGTGTTTTTGAGTTGTACAGTATACATACTGATACTCTTCGTAGCATCATTATTCTTTCGCGGCTCCTGAAGGTATTCTTCTTGCCACGATAATTACTGGTTTCCTATGATTCAGGCCTGTTATCAGCAGTGAGATGATGAAAGCAAAATAGCTCGGATCTTGGGAACAGCAGGTATAACCACACGCATCTTGTGGAAACGTCACTTGGGATGTGGGACTCAAGCAGAAGAAAGATTGTTTCGCTGAGTTTTATCAAATAATGTATAATAAAAACATTTATTTCTGCCATGTAATGTCTATACTATAAGTACTCGCTAGTTTCCTGAAAAGGATACCGGTAAGTAGTCAATGGTGTTATCAGTCGGAATGGTACCTGGGATGCTAAATTGGTGGTAAGGGAGTCAACGTCTAGGTCAAAACTCTTCGTTAGGTACGTAGGGTAACATACTGTATGGCATTTGGAGGATCACTGTATTGACCAAATTAATATACCTGTAATGTAAAATGAAAGGTTTCGTAATAAAAAGATAATGCTAGCCTTAGAGAGATAATTAAGTTAATGGCGATATTAGTGACTGCCAAAGAAGAAACCTAAACGTTATAAAAGGAATAGGAATTTTGCTAAACCCTATTTAGTATGTATGCTACAATGCTTGCTTCTATTATTAGGTACCCGTGCCATATATGTGTATAAATTGTATAATTTGCAGATAGAAAATTGCGCGGAGACCGTTCATAAAAGGCAATATAAGCACCACTTCGATGTGAATGTCGAAGGTGTGCTCAGTAAAACAATTATTTGAAAACGTATACATTCAACTATTGCTCTATGAGCATCGAATAAAAATAATTAATAATAATAATCGATTTTATTCGTAACATTTAGGTTACGGATAAACATCAATGTTTCAAATATGTTCTCAAAGAAAATAACACTTAGATATCTCTGGGGAAGATTTTAAATAATATTTAAGCCTACCTAAAGACAAGACAGATTTTCTGGTATAAACCTGTATCAGGTTAAACCTGAAAGACTTTCAATGATATATGTCTTTTGGTATTTCCTAGTTAATAAGTGTGGAGGAGATCTAATAAGTGTGTTATATGAAATAATATTTTGGCAAGGTATATGTTTCTTTGTTTGGATATGGAGGTATAGCCGATTAATGTTTAACTAGATTACACTATCAATGATCCTTGAACAATCAAAGTCTTTTTTAAATCGTCTTACTTAGAGAATTTACATGACATTGGTGCATTCGACAACTCTGGAGGGATAAATTTTTGTCTTGCAATGTTAACAACGTCTTAAGAAATCCAAAGCCTATAGTGATCTGTAATAATTTAGTTAATGTAATGATTCTAAGTACCTTCCGGGTAATTGAAGGGTTTTTCTTATTCTTATTTTTCTGAAACTTACCGTTTATGAGTGTGATTTGTTCTGCTGCACCAGCGCCTCGTAGTGCATCCTCTAGCTGAGCCCTCCTTTTATTCTCCAGATCAAGCTGATCTTGAAGTCTTCGACGCAATCGTTTCTCCCTCCGAAGTCGCTTTTGTGCCAAAACTGAAACAAAAACAGACAAATATAATATTGGGTATCACTAATACTAGTCTGATATTTTATCAAATCTGAGGACATGTCGAATTTTTGATAAACTATCGTATGTCATAAAATCTATGTTGAATTTAAGCTCGGACTTTTCTGATTCTTGTTGGACATTCTATCTAAAATGGTTAATAATTGCCAATTTTCTGGACAGGTGGTACCTGTTTGCGGTCACCATGAGATAGCTATTTTCTGTTGGATGCTATACAAATTTTGTTTTAAGGACATAACCACCGTTTTCGCGGAATAATTGGCATAAAAGTTCCCATTATAGAGCTATAATTTTGTTAAGGAAGGAAATTATTTTTTGCTATCAAATAGTAATCTGCCGGAGTGCAGGTGTGTGAAATTTTAGTTGCATGAAATAGAAAGAAACAGAAAAGATCATATCCGGTCTGTTTGGATATTTGTCGGCTATCGAATTCTGATGAGGTGGTCAGGTGACAGATGACAACGATGGTTTAGAAATATAGGGGAGGTCTTATACGCAGGGCTGCGTTCGTAAATTGTTACGGAGTGTATTTTATATAATATGCGTTCGGAAACAGAACAAACTGGAACGTCAAAAGTGCGCATTACTTCTCCTGCTCAAAACTTTGATTTGCTTTATTTGGTTATAAAAAACTGCTCAAAATTAGCAAGATATGTATTTTTGACGATAAATCTTCCATTGTATCCATTGAGGTCTCGTAATAAATACAATGGTCGCAGAAAACGTGATTAGAAATTAGTCGCCGGTCATGTGGTGTCAGTACATACAGTGATGGACAAAAGTATATACACAAATATGAATATTTACCTAAATACCTTTAGAAAACGAATTCATACTTCATTGCTCCATAAACAAATGCGTTATTAGTAGAAAAACTAAATTCCTTGTTTTTACATTATCTGCAATGAACACAATACAAGTCTGAATATAAGCACTTTTTTATGAGGGGCAAAAATATGTAGACAAATTCTTTTCAATATTAGTTTAGTATAGTTTCGTGTCAGAAGAGGATTAGTTTGTGTTCATCAAGTATTGTGGAATAAGTTGAGTGATTTTAAAACCATGCCGCGTGGTCCAGAAATTTCTTTCGATGTTAAAGATGGTCAACGTCAAGTGTTTCAGTGACTAATCCAAGTTCAATATGTTTCGATCAGATGGTGTTCATTACGTTAGACGTCCTAGTGGACAAAGATTGAACCCCAAGTACACTTTGCCCACTGTCAAACATGGAGGCGGGTCTGTTATGGTTTGGGGGTGTTTTTCGGGGTTTGGGATGGGACCTTTACACAAAATAGATGGCATTATGGATAAGTTTATATACACAGACATACTAAAGCATGTCATGTTACCCTATATGGAAGACCATATGCCCTTAAGATCAATCTTCCAACAAGATAATGACCCGAAGCTCACTTCAGATCTCGCAAAGAAATTCTTTCTGGATTGAAAGGTACCAGTTCTCAAACGGCCTTCACAGTCTCCCGATATAAACCCCATTGAAAATTTATGGGAATAATTTGATAAGCAGATACGAAAATTATTCAAACAAGGATGAACTTTTTACCGCTTTAGAGCTAAAGTGGAGAGAGATTGATGAATCTGATATCAAGAAACTTCTACAATCTATGTCGAGACGATGCCAGGCGGTGATTGATAATAATGGTTATGCTGCAAAATATTAACACAAACATGGTTGGTTTTCTATAATTCAATGAACTTTGCTCCTTTTTTCTATAATTGTTTTGCTTTGTCTATATATTTTTGTCCTTCATAGGTCCAGTTTTTTTAATTAATTTTTTACTGAAGGGAGTCTAATGAATTTATTTATGTATAAGTGAGTATTATGCTATAACGAATTATATATACAGGTTGGTGTATTAATAAAACAAGTTAAAAAAGAAATACAGCACAATATTAATTTGTCTATATACTTTTGTCCATTACTGTAGCTTTGTAATATGTTAAACGTTCTATTTCACAGTAGTCCAGAGTAAAATTTCAACTGTCAATCAACATTCCATTACTGCATACGGTATTATATTGCCGAAAGATTTACAAACGCTCCTCACGGCGCGTTAAATGACGGGAAACCATAACTGTTGAACATTTTTTTACCTATTTGCAGCTACGATTTCTGGAACCATCAAGATATACAGAACGTCGCAGGTGTGGTTCGGATACCGTGCAATGCCGCGTTCTTGTAGATATTGTGAGCTTAGCACGTGGCATTCTCGCTGAGCATATACATACTCCTTGGGAGAAACCATTATTATACATTATGATGAGGAAGAGAGATGGAAATATACAAAAGTATGTAGGTGCGTGAAAGACACTCGATTGTAGGATCCTATCTGGCAGCGTCGGAATGTGACGGACAACGGGGTAAAGTAGAAGAGTGATAAAAGAGAGAGATGGCAGAACGGGCGCATGGCGCCTACCGCTTAGACGGATGCGCTCAACAAATGCGATTTGTTTCTCCCATTCGCAGAGTTGCCGATACCAATATGTCATATTTCTAAGAAATCTAAGTCTACCCAAATTTCGGGAAAAATAGCTGCGGATTCCACATAAGAGTATTCCAAAAATGAAAAAAGTTCAAACTATTAAAACTGTATTAATGTTTCGTGGTTCAAATCATATTTTTCATGTTTTTATATTGTTGTATAAATGATTTTGTAATCCCGATTCTTGTTGCCAGTAGAGATACAACAGTATTGAGAGAAATCATGGACCGCTAGATAGGGCTACAACTACCATATGACTATCAAACAGTAGTGATAAACAGGGTTTGTTTATAGCACAGTTGCCTGGTGTGGCGAATTTACGCCATAGGGGCGATTTGACAACTTTGAAGGACAACTATAACGGTTATTATGGTGCCCGGTATTCGGGAATCTGGCAATACCTGATGATTCCTAACGTTTATTACGCCAGATTGTTTGCTGACTTGCGCAGTACAACATGACAATCAACGTGACTGAGCACCTGGTAACCCTGGTTTAAGGTGTTATATTTAAAGAGCTTGGGGCAGTTAGGTATCTAGGTCACATTTTTTAATGTATTTCGAGAGTCCGTAATGTTGAGTAAATACTAGATCACGTTTCTTGCTTAGTTTGCTGAAAATTCTACAATAGACGTACATTTTGAGAAACAGAGATTTGGTGACGACAAAATCGTAAAAATATAACGCATTTTCGTAAAATAATTTCTTTGTTGAAAAGACTGTGGCTTGATGACCCATTGAACGAGTATAGTGTCCCGCTCCGCTTTGAATATTCGAAACACTATACTCCAGCAGCATTCAGCTTCAATGTTATCTTTATGAAGTTCTAACGTCTAGGCCATGCTGATTAAAAGCTTGAATGAATCAACACTTAACTCTAAATTCCCCACAATTCGGGAAGCTCTACTCAAATTGGCAACACAGCGTATCTGCCTATTATTCTCATTCGTGATACAGGTCTGCGGTTAACGGTAGGAAATATGTACGAATAGCGATGAAAGTAGACGAGCCGATGCGCTGTTGCCAAGAAATGATTTCCTATGTATAACAATGGTTTTTCCTAAGGTGTATATTTCCACATCGTATAAGTAGGGCGGGATGCAATACGGATCTATTACCTGTCAACAAAGTATGGCCAATATTGGATTGGAATGAAGTAGATGGGTAACTAGATGCTTATTAAAAAGAGTCGCTATACTTTCACCAAAGAAAACCACCTGATTTTTCTCTTGGCGTATAAAAATGGAGATAACGATGTAGCTTGACTGATCAAATATATAAATTAGATATGTAAACCTTGGGTTCTACTGAATAAAGCTTCAAAATTTAAGTAGACTTTTGGCCTGCCTCCCAAAATTACAAGCTGAGCTTGCATTTGATTATTGACTCTCCAGTGATTTAATTTGAAATTTTCCAATCGGTTTAAATGGGCTATAAAATCCTATTCGCGTTTGAACAATATTTTTGAATTCAACTTCAGATTATGAATTGGATAACGACTTTTTGCGTTGAAAACAGTATATCCCAATTCTAAGGTACAATATTCGTCGTTTGATAATTGCAAAACCTCAAGGAGAGATGGTTTTCGGCTACTGTTTCTATTAGATCTCAAAAATTAGAAATTCGATGAAATTTTTACACAATGCTACTACCGTTAACGACGCAAAAACTTGATCTTGAAGGAGGTGGAGGAGGATATATGTCAGTGTTTTGACGTTGGTGTATTTACACAACCCAACCCCAGTAATTCTACCCTTAAAACTTAGGAATATCTCCTAGAGTCGGGTATCGATATCTGCGACGGGACCGGCAGCGGTATTACGTAACCTGAAGAGTGACATTATGTCGGTTTTTCTGATATTATGTCGTTTTGTTCTTGTCATTATATATTTTTCACGTAATAAGCCTGCCGGGATGGAAAAACGTCATTAAATTTTTCTGTTATGCATGTTTGTAGCTAATCTTTTTCTCAGAAGGGCCAACTTGTGCCAAACAAAATCCTTTTCGAACTGATGATAGCGTAGCGTGGGAAGTACAGAGTCAACTTACTCGACGCCATTTTCTGTGGTCCAAACAGTCCCAAGGTGCAGTCGCTGTTTCTCAATGGCTTTGAGATTCGTGCCACTGTTGGAGAAAACTTTAGGAAAATTGACTCAACGCGATTTTTATTTTGAGTTGAACACACATTGTCGCGGATGCTTGGGGACAGCTACTTAAATCCATTTGTCGATTTTGAAAACTAATAATAAATTGTTGTTACGCCGTTACCTTTCCCGATAAAGTGCTGCGGCTTGATTGGCATTGTCAACACTCACCATAAATAAAATGAATTTGAGCACTGATACATTTCCGTTCTAAAGATTGGACTGTTCACCACATGGAAGATCTAACTTACTATAAAAAATACTGCGAGCGATGGGGTAGTTAAGAAATCTTGACACTTAATCTGTCACTATGACATCAAACAAAAACCAACAAGTAGCTAGGGAAATCTGATTTCTCCATATTTATTTTTTTTAGGAAGAAACAGGAGTCTTAGCTAACCTTAATAGGAGTCTCCCTTAAATTGACAGCAGGAAATACGGTGTATTGTATAATTTTGCAATCTCAATGAATTAGGCAAATTATTCACGTCTTGTTCCACTAGATTACCGCGATATTATTGACACCACACGTGTTCAAACTTAAGAGGAAAAAAGTCATTTTTTCCGAGTTTTAATGATTTTTTAAAATAGCAATTAACCTGTAGCACGAAAATGGAGATTTATATTTTATGACACATGTATCCAGGAATACTATGTTGAAAAAAGAATGAGAAAAACCCTTCATGTGTTATCACAAGACTTATAACAGTGAGTGAAAGAGCCAGTTTCCTCCAAATTTGAAAAACTTCACAAAAATTGATAACCGTGCAACTTTTACTACACAATTTTCAATTTTTTGAATCGTTATCACGTCTTCCAACTACAGATTAAAGGCTATCCACTCTTTACGCCAAGCCCTGTATACAGGGTGATTCACAAGTCGTGACCAAAAATGAGACACCATAAACAGCACCGCATTTTAAGCGGGGTCTTCTATTTAACATATTTTCCTCCAGGGCTTCATTAAATATTACAGGGTGTTGAAGTTTAAAAATAAAAAAGATTTTTTTTTAATATCTTCATAGCCGTCAGCTGGAATGAACTAAAATTTGATATGTGGATTTAGTTAAGTATTGTTCACATTCAAAAGTCGTTACTTAAAGTTAACGTGCACCAGTGGCGGATATACAGGGGATTGTGGCATTATTTTTCCAAATAAAAATAGTACGCTACCGTTTTTTTTTTTTGGAAACTGATCAACAGTATTAATTTGTTCAGCGTACACTAGTTGTTTAAAAGCGCGCCACAACAAGAAATCCAGGAGACATCGTTGTCGAAAATGATTATTTAAACATGAGGTTATGTAACGACGAACATGCGGTGAGGCACCGTCAAGCTGATACCACGTTCGTACTATCGTTGCTAACGGAACATCATCTAATACATTTTCTATGTAATTCTCTAGAAAAGATAAGTATTTAAACGTTGTGGCAATGCGTGCATAAACAGTTGGCCGTTGAAAATGCTGCACCAGAAATTTCTAGAAAATCTGTGTTGAAACGAGTGGATTTTTGCCGAACGGGGTTCTCTAACGACCAAATATGTTCATTGTGAGAATTAAAGTTTTCACTCCTCATAAGAAGCGATTCATCTGACCAACAAAAATTTCGTCGTTGCACTTCGTCTCCGGGTTTCAGACATTGTACATTTTGCCGATGGTAAGGATATAAACTTCCCGATTTAAAATTCTCCACGCAAGACCTTGGGAACATAGTAACTGGGCTGCAATCCGGCAAGTACTCGTACTAGGATCTTGAACAGTATGCTAGACATCATGCCCTCAAGCTCCGGGAAGTTTGGGAAGTTTTAGAAATGATCGCGTAAAAACCTTTGGGGCAGGTTGGCATCTCTTAGGAAATCTACGTTGATATTACCGAAAAGCCACTAAAGAATTTCCATTACAGAACCAGTTCATAAAATCGGCGCACTCATCACTGCTAAATTCCATTTCACAACACTCAAAACTGGAAAAAGAGACTTTTGACTTGACTTTAAAGAAAATAGTAGTAGTAACGATAACAACCCTATAAACACATATCTTTGACAAACTATCTCCCAAGAAACGTCAAGTTGGTATCAAAGCCTCCTATTTTATTTTAAAACTCATTGTATCTCGGCTCTTCACGAATGATCTAATTTGTTTTATTTTTATTTTTACGAATAGAGTGCTCTCTAAAAAAAATAACACATGTGTAATTATTTTTACAAATTGAAGGTAAGATTGGAAAAATGCGCGTTTCGAAAAAATAATGTCACTATTCACCTGTATCTCCGCCACTGGTACAGGTTAATTTTAACTAAAGCTTTTAAATGTGGACAATACTTAGGCAAATCACATAAAACATTTTAGCTCATTCCAGCTCACGGTTTTGAAAATGTTAAAGAATAATTGTTTTTTTCTTTTTAAACTTCAACACCTCGTATCTTTTTAATGAAGCCTTCGCGGAGAAAATGTTACATAGTTACATATGATGTTTCATTTTTGGTCACGACTTGTGAATCACCCTGTATAAAGACTTCGCATAAGGTACACACCGACTATGCCGTGCCAAAGGCAGACAGACACCTATAAAGTGTGCGTGTGCGATTTATCGTGAATCTCTCGGTGCATATCGTGGCTGACTGCAGTCGGTGGTCAGTATCTGGGTGTGGCCTGCAAAGCGGTGTAAGGACGACTGAACCGGCAGCCAATCGCAGCGGATACCTAATGTCAGGTTTGGAATGCATAATGTGCAACATACACTCGACTCACTCACAGGTTGGTAATGGTAATGCCGGCCACTTGGCTGGGCTTATCGCTACGGATTATTCTTCAAGATGGAAGCCGTCGATAGACTGATTGATCAGTATTGACTGTATCTTCTTGAGACGTTTTTTGGTTGTCAGTGTGTTACAGTGGTAAGAGGCATTTTTGGGATCATGCCTCATGAACAAGAATCAACACTGTACAGTAGCGTGGTATCCAAAATTGTTGAAAATTAAATATAATCAACTTCAATTTTAACGTAGCAAACTATAAAAAGTACTATTTCTCTTAAAAGCTTCCATATATAAACCGACCTAGATTCGCTTTACTTTCTATAATAATTGAGATAAGACCTAAACGACCATTGGTGACCAATATAAAAATGAAAAAAAATGTTGTTGGTTGCTTTGTTTCATAGATTTGCTACCACCGTGGATGAAGCCAGGTTAATAACAACCACGGACGTTTCCAGAAAAGAAGAAACTCAATATTCGTTAGAGAAGTCCTAAGAATACCGGTAGAATTATCTATCATTTCAAATAGTTCGACAGAACATACTTAATTACGTGACACCTTTTGCATGCTATCCATAAGTGGCAGCTAATTTTGAAAAAAAACGCACTTCTAGTCTTATCTCTGGAACACTACCTTCTCGATCGATCGATTATTAAATGCATTGAAGATGACGTACATGTCAAGTATGGTCGATACCAGAATTCCTGTGTACTGTTTTTAAAAACTACAGCAGCACTTGGTGGTCAATACCTTCACAAGTGTTGAATTTCTGTAGTGCTTAGCTGAAAGCTTACTTTTGTATACATAATAGACATGATGTTTCTTTTTGAGAATACGAGTCTTTACTTGGGCTTTTATGTAATCAAACAAATTGTACAAGACATGGATGTAACGCTTTCGATACTTTTCTGTTGATAACATGAATTTGAATTTCGATACTATAAAAATTACTCAAAATCCTCAAGACAATAACTAATTTGATCTAAGATACACAGAAATCGGATGCATCGTTGCAGACTTTTTTGGATGAGGACTGAGAACAAAATATAACCAAGACAATGAGAATCACGAAACAACAGGACATCTAGGAGAATCAAAGCACTATCCAATCAGCGTGTAAGGTGAGGTGCTTTTAGGTACCTTAGGGCCAATTTCACCAACAACAGTCTGTTATTCTCCACCTATAGGGTAACAGCCCGTCAAATACAGCCAATGAGCGTCAAGTTCCAATCAACGAATTTTAGCAACCAATAGCTATGAAATGTTGGAAACCAAATATTGTCAAAGTATGAGATGACATCTTGTCATTGAAACATCATCAGCTTATTGAATATTAGAAATTACATATAATTCAGTCAAAATTTAAACAAATGTTTGATTTTTGAATAAAATTCATGATTTAATTACTTACTATTGTTGACTTTTTATTCATGTTTATACTATTTTCTTCAATTGATATGTGATTTTACTGATTCAAGATCATCTACTGGGTGTTTTTTCCTATAAACCTCTTGCAGATAGCTATTAAGCACCTACTTGATGACTGGCTCTACCAAAAAGTTCATAGATATTGCTCGTTTCCAAACATTCATTCATTTACTTGCCGTTCATCAGAACCATTATGGCACCTAAGATTGATATTCCCACAAAACCATTCTGGTTTTTTAATATCCATACATCCATAAAGTTGAATATTTTTCGTTGTTCAGGAACTTAACCAACATCCACACTATATTCACAGCGATTAATAAATACCCAAATATATGTCGTAGAGCTACCAGCAAACCTAAAACCAGCAGAAAAACTAGAAATTTGCAATATTTTTCTTTTTTCACTAAGTACATATTCTGGGTTATATTTATATTAGACGTTATTTGAATCACAAAACATATACACTGATTTGAATAACAGCTGATTATCTCCTGATATTTTAAAACTAACCATATCGACAAGTGACACATAATTCTGTGGCATCCGTCAACACTTCATCCCAGTGGAGCAACTATCGAAATAAACTTTATTAATTCCAAGTCTTATTTTTGTTTTACTGTGCCTGCTTAGATATTCAAATACGGCCAGGAATTATTAGCGCCTAGCTATTTTAGGCCTTCAATAACTCCTTATTTTAGATCTCTCCTTATTTTGTTTTTTCCACGCATTCATGGTAGAAAGAAAAATATTTTATCGAATATCGATACCGTATACCGTGCATCAGGCACGCCCATCACTAGTTTGACAGATTGCAGAATGATGTCAAGGTGACAATCGTTATGTGGCAGTTGTTTTTGTTTTTGTCTGAAATAGGTAAGTAGGCTTTGTGTATTCATTTTTATTTTTATAGCGTTTCCAGAATTTCATATTTCGAAACGATGTCAAGGGCCGGCAGGGGAAAATCTTTCTCTGAGAACTGAAAATCATTAAACGCGCTGTTTTCAGTCTATTTTATTCTATCCCTTGGGAAAGTACAGAATGAAGAAAAGACTACAGTGCTCAGTTGCCACTCAGTGGCTCAGTCCCCTTCTGTAATGATAATATTCAAATACTAC